CTTTCGGGGGCGGGCCCACCAGCTTGGGCGATACCGCGAGCCTGGGCCACGCGTGAGACTTTCAGTACCTGTCCACCCCTGATCCAGCCAGGGCAGTGAAAGCTGGGTGCCCACCTTTACGACGTCCACACGTACAGGAACAAGCGACCTACAACTCGTCAGTGGGCTTCTCCAGGCACGTTAGCAATCCACCAGGTCACACACTTTTGCGTCTCCCACTCCACGAAAACACAGGTCCAGATTTGCACCTGGACTGGCCGATTAGCTCCTGGCAACCACGCCCACCCAGGCTCTGGCGGATTTGGCCTGCCCGGAGAAGATAGAGGGCTTGCTTTCCTGGGTTGCTTTGGCGGCGCCCATCTGCACAGGGTTTGACGTTGACCAATGTAAACAACCAGTCCCTAAGGGCCTGAGCGGTCAGGCCTGCTGCTGATTCCTAGGGAGCTGCTGCAGGCTGTGCAACACCGGCTTCCCCTGGCCGCACTCGAAAGCCACTGTCTTCTGCCAGGTGTCAGTTGCTGGCGTGCAGGAATCTGAGGAAAGATTCTGCATACCGAAGCTTCGCTGATTAGTGCTGAAATCACGTCTGGATCGTGGAGGCAAATTGGCCACTACTGTTCTAGGGCAGAAATAAAACAAAACAAAAAACCAGACAGGCAACATTCTGCAGCACAACAGAAATCCGGTTGTTCAGTGGTTACGATATGGCCTTGTCTTGGAGTCAGGCCCTAGCTCTGATGTTTCCCGAGAGACGAGTTGTGGGCTGAGGGTAAAGGGACAGGAAGCTGGGGAACACTTAGCAGTGTGCACAGTGAAGTCTCAACCAGTGCTGCTCATGGAAACTCCTGGGCAAACCACTCTGAACCAACTTAGCTGCCGATCTGTAGGGATTTGTGTCTGTGTCTTCTTTCATCACTCCTCCTAAAATAGGCAATCTGACACAGGTCACGATAGACATTGAAGAAAATGCTGCTGCCCCACAAGTCCTTTCTATAAACATGTCCTCACCTAGCTTGTGTTGGAAGAATAAACAGATAACAGAATCCTCCAAGTCCACTTCCTGCCAAATAACAACCCCACGCAACTGCCACCACCCACAGTGAAAAGAATGACCCCGAATGTCCCCCAAACCTGGGGTGGCTCTGTGAAGTTGTTTTGTGCTGTGACGCAGCTTGGGACAGGTGAGTGTGAGTCAGAGTGGCCGTCTCCTCCCGCTTCCTGACCCTCGGCCTGGCACTTCCTACAGAGCTCAAATATGGGACTCTCCAGGCCACAAGAAGCAATTTTTGTCAAAGCAGGTAAGTTGAGCGAGTTTCAGTATGTGGCAAGAATCTTGTGGACAAGGTGGGGCATCACCAGAGACCCAAGGGAGTTGAGAAAAGGTCCCGGAAACTCAGTCTTCTGCCACCAATGTTAAATAACTTGCTATTGGTGAATTATCTGACTGACTGGCTGCTGTCAGCCTGGCTTTTGCATAATAAAATAACTTGGAAAAAATATAGGGCTCTGAAATATAAGGCAGGTCCCACAAGAAAATGAACTGTGTGGCACAGGGAGCGCAGAAAGTTACAAAATAAAATACTGCAGGGCACAGTGGTGCGCACCTGTAAGTCCAGCCCTGGGGAGCCTGAGGCAGAAGGATTGCCAGGAGTTGGAGGCCAGCCTGAATTACATAGTGTGACCTTGTCTTAAAACAAACAAAGCAAAAAAACTATAATGAATTCTTGGGGAAAAAGAAAACCCAGAAAAACCCAAAAGCATGATTGTAGTAAGAGTGTGCAACCTCTCCACCAATAACCTTTTCGGATGGAGCTGTGTCGTGTGACAGTCAAATGCCTCAAAAATTCAGCTGTATCTCTCCTCGAGGGCAAGGCTGCTGGACACACCAGGGAGTGATCGGACACTGCCAGCTGCCTATGCCCTGGCCTCTCCCTGTGGGAGTGGTGGGGCTTCTCTCTGGGTGCAGATCTGGGCGCGAGGCTGCTCCTTAGGCTCAGTTCTTCCCGGCAGGTGCACCAGGCCTCTCCTTTGTCACTGCTCCCTGCCACTGTCTTGAAATCCTGATGCTTTGTGTGTGCCTGTGTTACCGAGGTGAGCACGTCATGATGCTATTTGAACAACACACACCTGCATTTTTGCTTCCAAAGATCATGTGACTGCTCCTGACCTCGCCACGCAGAACACAAGTCCAGATATTTAACGGTGCTTTTTTTTCCCCCTTCACTTGCCCTCAAGAGCACATCTACTATTTCATCTAGTACTTAGTTGAAGAAATATGCATCTGTTCCCTGGAGGGAAAACAAAACAGAAAACCAACCCCTGGGATACTCCCAGGTTTATAATCATTTAAGCAGCTTTTAAGACTGCTTTTTGACTGCACAGGATTTCCCTCTCACTTTCTCCCTGCATAGCCCAGCCCCTCACCTGAGGTGTGGCCCCATTGTGAGAAGAGAAAAGAAATAAATGAAATCTGATCTTTTTTTTTTTTCAATTTCAGGTGCTTCAGAAAGTATTAAAGAAATTCAACCATAGGAAGGGACAGGTGATGGAAAGCAGGAGGAAGAAAAGAATTCGGTGAATCTTCGTCCTAGAAAACAGGTCACCGTCACGAGTGCTCACGCGTCAGGCACAGACCTTCTGCTCACACTGCTGAGCCGAGAACGGCCCTGCAGAAGGACGTTCACTAAAAACCTTACCCACACATCCTGGGAAACTTTATTGACCTTTTTCTTTTGTCCTGGAAGATGAGGCAGACTGAAGTCATTGACCAATTTGACTATCATTTGATGCTTGATCGATGTTCCAAAGCACTGAGACTCGTCCTCCCATTTGTACTGAACTGAATTAATACGAAGTTGGAGGTTCCCTCATTCCAGCCACTTGTTCCCCACCCTCAGACACTGCTCAGGCCCTGCTGCAGTCAGGCTCACTAGGGAATAGATTTCGTACCGGACGCATAATTTATAGGGTTATTTTATAACATTCACTCAAAAAGTCAGGCGCAGAGCAGTGCAGGAGATCTGTCCACATGCGAGGGACCCGAAGGATACGGCCAGGGGCCTGGGTCCCATGGCAGCCTCCCCCATGAGTCCAGCCAGACCCCCAGAGCCCACGGCAGCGTCTCACCCAAGTCCGTACGGAGGATCTGCACGGGGAAGGCCCGAAGGCCAGCGGGGGAAGCCAGAGAGCCTGCGCCAGCGGGGTGAGGGTCTGTGCCACAGGGCTGAGGGAGCTGCACTGGAGCCAGGAAGTGACGCTCGGGGTGAAGACCAGAGCTCCCCTGACGAGAAGAGCCACCATCCCCGGCCACAGCGAGGACCCAAGATGCTCCTCTGACGATGACAACAGCCGAGTCTGCATCTGGAAAACCAGCCTTGCAAAGCCTCCCCAGAAGCGTCGACAGCATCGGTGTTCCCTCCTGTTCTGCTTTCGTGCCGTTGGCAGCCACCCTCGGGGTTCTCCCACACCCAGAGCCACACGGCCTCCGTTCCGCCGGGTGTTCCAAGCTGACCGTTAGTCCACACAGCCCCTGACCCCACCACACACTGAAAGGCGAACGCCGTACTGCTCCCCACTTCTCCACGGCTCTTCTACTTTCCTGGAACCGCAGCTCTCTCTCCCGAGAAGAGAGAATGAGAAGGAGCTGTGGACAGCTCTGTAGGAAGCAGGTGGGAGAAGGAGGGCCGGAGCAGCTACTGAGGTCAGAGGTGACGGAGCGCTCAGTCCCCTGCATCGGGCAGGGCAGCCCCTCCACTGAGCTCACCTCGGGGCCAACAGGCGAGTGCTCCATTAGTATCCATGGATGAAACTTTAGGTCCGCATTTCTAAATCAGGCGGACGGGTGGAGAAAAGCTTGCAAAATAAGATGCAAAGCTCAGAAGACGTAAAGCAAAGGTTGTCCCTGAAGTGCGCCTCTTGTAGAACAGAGATCACTGGACAGTGCCCTCCGTGCCCGAGAGACTGATATTAGGGCCAGCGTGTGCCTGCGGGGTGCACAACATGCGTGGGAAATGGGCTGAAGGACACCTGCAGCCTCCGTGGGGGGCGAGCTGGGAAAGGCCCTGCGTACAGTCCAGGGTCTCAGCTCTTTAACACCGAGAGTGAGTTGGTGTCATTCCACTCTGCCTTCTGATACAGGTGCGGTGGAGAATTATGGGGAACATGTACGTGTTTAAAAATTATTGCAGTGAAAGACACTGGGCCATCGATGCCCCTCGCATGCGTTCCTGCCACTGCAGGTTCTTACAGCTCACTCGCAGGGACGAGATGTGCTGTGTGTGATCTGGGTGAAGGACCGCAGAGCACCCTACTTGGAGTCCAGCGGAAGAGACCAGGAAGGTGGTGTACAGATTGCCAAAGCCTCTCAGGTTGGCGTTGGGGTCCTCTCTGCGTCCAGGGTCAAGACAGTTTTCCAACTTTCTTTCAGCTTAGACCAAAACCAGAATCACCTGGAGAGTGTGTGAAGATGACCTCAGCTTTCTGATCGGTAGCCTGAGCCCACACATCTGTGTTCCGCCAAGTTCCCCCTGCAGCTCTGGCTGCTGTCATTTCGCGCCCTACAGCTCTGCTCTTCAGGCTGTGAGCACCAGGACAGGAACCCGTTGTTTGTTCCTGAATATATGGTGTGATAAAAAAATACAGTGGATGCTTAAAACATTATCCTGAAAATGTATT